CCTCGGCGGTACTTACCTCCGCCGCGATCCTCTTCTGGAGGGCTGCCTGACAGCCCAGGCACCCTCCTCCGGCAAGTGAGGCCCCCGGGGGCCATGTGATCGCCCTCAAAGAGCGATCACATGGCCCCCTATAGCTGGCTGTGGATCTGCCAGCAGGGGGGCTGTCTGAAATATCAGACAGTCCCCCTGCTGGTAGGTAGTGTAAATTTTTTTTTTTTTTAACATAATATATGTATATATAATATATATACATATTATATATATATGTAACGTCATACTAATATTAGTATATATATTAATATTAAAATACACTTAGAATGACGTTACATATATATAATATGTATATATATTATATATATAATAGATATATACACATATATTATATATATATACGTATAATTACAATAATAAATAAATAAAATAATAAAATAAATAAATAAAATATTGAAACAAAATTTAATATAAATTATATATTCATATGTAATTTCATTCTAACTGTATTTTGTTATTAATATATATATATATTGGTAATAAAATACACTTAGAATGACATTCTATATATATATATATATATATATATATATATATATATATATATATATATAAAATGCAAATAACCGCAAATATATATATATATATATATATATATATAGATAAATACTTATAATTACATAAAAGATTACATTAGTATACACGTAGAATTTAAATACCTATAAATGCATATGTATTAAAATTCTATGTGTATATTTAAGTAATCCTTTAACATAATTATGTGATTTGATTAATTAAAATTTGATTGACATGCCTGACAACACAGGGAGAAAGTGCAGAGAATTTAATTTGCAAGCACTATATTTGACCCTGTAACCCTGTAACTCTACAAGACACCATACAACCTGTACATAGGGGGTACTGTTTTACTCGGGAGACTTCGCTGAACTCAAATATTAGTGTTGAAAACTTGTAAATTGTATTACAACAATGATATTTTAAGTAAAAGTGACGTTTTTTGCATTTTTTTTTTTTACAAACAAACGGCACTTTTATGGACTATATTATTGTTGTAATATGTTTTACTGTTTTAAAACACTAATATTTGTGTTTAGTGAAGTCTTAGTTATGTTGACTTTGAGACCGTATGGTAGCCCAGGAATAAGAATTACCCCCATGATGGCATACCATTTGCAAAAGTAGACAACCCAAGGTATTGCAAATGGGGTATGTCCAGTCATTTTTAGTAGCCACTTAGTCACAAACACTGGCCAAATATTAGTTTTTTGCTTTTTTCAAACAAAAACTAATATGGACGCTAACTTTGGCCAGTGTTTGGAACTAAGTGGCTACTAAAAAAGACTAAACATACCCCACGTTCAATACGTTGGGTTGTCTACTTTTTCAAATGGTATGCCATTATGGGGGTAATTCTCATTCCTGGGCTACCACACCGTCTCAAAGGTAACATTACTAATCTGGCAAATTTCAATTTGAAAATGGAACGTTCTATATTTGAACCTGTAACTTTCCAAAACACCATAAAACTTGTTAATGGGGGGTACTGTTGTACTCTTGAGACATCGTGAATTACAAATATGTGCATTTTTTTGCAGTAAAACCTAACAGTGTTATGACATTTACAGCTAAAATGTGAGGCGGAACTACAAATTTAAAAAAAAAAATTCTCACAGTTTTTTAAATTTTATTCATAATAAATTATGTTTTATATAAAAATATTTGATATGAAATGAAAGCCCTGTATCTCCTGAACAAAATGATATATAATACGTGTGGGTGCATTTAATATGAAAGAGGTGAATTACGGTTGAACAGACATAGCGCAAATTCCAGTTTTTGTGTACTATTGACTCCGTCTTGAAGGGGTTAAACTTCCTTAGGGCAATGGCTAAGGAATTCAGAGGATATGCCATTTATGTCCTACTTGGTCACTAACAGTCATTAGGAGATACACAATTTTCAGACCTACAAGTCTTTGTTTGTCTCCTTTCTCAAATGTTTCCTGATAAAAAGAAATTTACATATTAAAAGTATAAATAAATAACGGGATGCTCACTAGATGTTTTGTACCACTTATATCAAAACTTGATGGCCTCTCGCTCCAGCATCAATGAGAGACAGGTACTCACCAATGGATTGCATGCTGACCACTTTTATACCCTGAACAAAATTATAAACACAACACTTTTGTTTTTGCCCCCATTTTTCATCAGCTGAACTCAAAGATTTAATGTTTTTTCTATGTACACAGAAGGGCTATTTCTCTCAAATATTGTTCACAAATCAGTCTAAATCTGTTTTAGTGAGCACTTCTGCACAGTTAGTGAGCATCTCTGCACATTTTAGAGTGGCCTTTTATTGTGGCCAGCCTAAGGCACACCTTTGCAATAATCAACCTGTCTAATCAGCATCTTGATATGCCACACCTGTGAGGTAGTTGGATTATCTCAGCAAAGGAGAAGTGCTCACTAACACAGATTTAGACAGATTTGTGAACAATATTTGAGAGAAATAGGCCTTTTGTGTTTATAGAAAAAGTCTTACATCTTTGAGTTCAGCTCATGAAAAATGGGGGCAAAAACAAAAGTGTTGCGTTTATAATTTTGTTCAGTGTACATTAGCTGGTTTCCTTTCTAATGCTTTTGGCTTGTACCTCTAGACTACACAGCATTTTAACAGATACATGCCAATTTTGCACTGTTCAAGTCCAATTACTACTATTATTGAAGTAAACAATTTGGTTTTTTTTCTGCATCCTCTATCTATTGGTGTGTCAGGCATTTCCTTAGCAGTTTATATTTGTGGCCATCTTTGTGATGTACTTATGGATCCTATGTGTTTCATCCAGGAAACTCATCAGGCCCTGACTACTTTCCTTCTTGCTAGTTTACAGTCTCTAGGTCCTGGGATTCAGGTGAAATCCTCCATTCTTAGTGAGTATTTTATGGGTCTTGACATCCATGATGTCCAGCTCTTCTCTTGGTCAGGTTATTATTCCAGTTGGGAATCTGATAATTGGAACAGCATATGTGTTGATGGCTTGGATCTTTTTCTTGCCACCTGTCTGACTCTCTGAAGGTACTTGGATGTTGCTCTCCTCCTTGCTTCTTTCTCATTGTCACCATGTGTTTGTGGTATCCCCAGGTACTTGTAGCTGTTCTCTCCTATTTGACCTTCTGTTACTTGAACTCCTGTCCTAATCATCTTTCCTCTTTTTATTCTTATCCATTCACACTTATTTAATCTGAACAACATTCCGATCTTGTTCTAGTTAGGTAGGTCAATGATCGCTTACAATTGGATTACAACCTGATGTTGTCCATGTATAGTAGGTGGCTGATGGAAGCTCCACTGAGCCTCAATCCATATCCACTCTTCATGGTGATCTGGTTAAGGGGGTTGATGCCTAGGCAGAACAGCATTTTGGATAGCGCATAACCTTGGAATATTCCACATTTGATGTTCACTTGTGTTAATGTCCTGGAATTGGCTTCCAGAGTTGTTTTCTACTTGCCCATTGAGTTCTTGATGAAGGCTCTTATTGTCTTACTGACCTCGTATTGAGCCAATCCTTCCAATATCCATGTTTGTGGCATTGTGTCATAGGCTTTCTTGTAGTCTATCCAGGCCCTGCACAGATAGACTTGTCTGGTCTTAGAATCCTGTGTGACTGTTTGTTTTACCAGCAGTTGGTGTTTTGATCCTCTGGTGTTGTTTCCAATACCCTTTCAAGAATTGATTATGTACTGACTTATATGACCATCGATTTTGGAGGCTCTGATGCTTGACAGGACCATTTTGTGGGGAGGCAGATGATTAGTTGGTAGTTAGACAGTGTTGTTCCCTTGTGAGGGTTCATCATGACTACTATTGTTCTGCCTTGTGCTCATGCAGCATCGATAGTTTCTTTATCCAGTAGGTGTGATGCCACACAATGCCACACTGTTGTGATTATTGTGCAGCTGTACATACATCTTTGATGGTTCTTTGGTAATAGGGCATTTGTTCTATTAGCATCTTCTTCTCTGTCGGTGCTGGTCAGTCTGGTTGCCAGTGCTGTCAGCATTTGCTTAGCTGTTTCCAGTGCATACCCTTGTATTTACTTAGTAGCCAGGATCTATCTTTGATCTTTCCACCTAGCTGCTTGATCCAAGGAGATATCTGACTGCCAGTTTGGGGTCAAGAAGGAATGTTTTCCTAGTTTGTTGCAAAATTGGAAGCACTTCAGACTGTTTTTTCTGCCTTCTTTTGGATCAACAGCAAAAACAAATGTGAGGAAGGCTGAACTTGATGGATGCAAGTCTCTTTTCAGCTATGTAACTATGTAACCTCTGTGGCCTAAGGCCATGGGAGGGCTAGCAAGCGGATCAATTGTACCCCAGGCCACTAGCATCCAAGGTTTAAGGGCTGTAGCTTCACACTATTCTTATTCTTACTGTTATGTGAATTAATATAGCAGGAGGTGCATTGGGATGTCTATTGGCACAGAATTGCAGGGATTGAGGCAGCAAGCAGAATTTGCGCATGGCTTTTGTCTGAATGTTCTCCATGTCTGCACTGCTTTATCTGGGATCACCAGACTACCAGACTGTGATTAATCTGTATGATGTCCCTGGAAGTGTTTGGGGTCATGCAAAACTTAGATTTTGTGAAAGCTCTGGCATACTGTGCAGATCATTCTGTTGGAGGTTGCAGCCTCTATCTGTCAAACCAATATAATACATGCTGCACATGAGTAGAATCAGCCATACAAAGATTTGGGAGGATAGTGCACAAGAAAAGACCATTCAGTTGTACTAGCCTCCCATGCCAAAAGATACCAGCCTTGCAGCATGCTTTAAAATATGACCTAGTATCAGACCTTACAATGAAAATGAAAATAAACCAGACAAAGTTACCCACTTTTAACTGCAGGAAATCATTTCATGTGATGTGTTTCTCCTTTCACTTTCATCTCGCTTGTGTTTAAAAGGAAATCTTTGCAAAGTGTTAAGTTCTCTCCAGAATTCACTGTATCTTTTACGGAGTAAAAACTCATCTGGAAGCTTTTTTAAATACTGGATTTATATCTAAACAAGTCTGGAGGTATGGATTACTTTAAATTTATTTTGAAACAGGGCAGGAAGTATCAGACTGTGTTGGGTTACAGTTCTTTATCTTTGCTTGCTGCTGTAAGTGAGACTTCCTTCAGTACCATAGTATATAAATGTCCATGTAACAGCTATAATTACATGTATGGCTTAGTTTTCTTACTAGTTCCAGCCTTGATACTCTTCATGCTTGGCTATATCCTCAGTATTCACATGTGGCAGCAATTCACATCTTGCTGCAACGAAGAAGGGCACTGCTGCTTGAATGGGAAAGTAAAAAATTATCTATGGAAGTTTCTGAAAGTGACATTTGCATCAGCATTGGCCCCTCTGACCTGGATAGCCTTGGCTCTGCTGAAAGGTACTTTTTATGAGTGCATAGTCTCTGGCTTTCATTGGGACTACTTGAAACAACGATTTTGTGAGAACAAAACAGGGTGTCTGAAGATATTGCCTCAGCTGCCCTGTATTTCGTCATCATCATCATCATCTACATCCTTATTATCTACATTGAACCTTACGAAGAGTAACATAGAAAATATCCAAAGTAACTTACGTGCAGAATCTCAGGTAATGATCTGTTCACAGTTTGTTTAATGCAAACATGAGGTGCTTTTTGTAATTCACAATTTGTTAAATTGATTTAGTTTCTTTAGATAGTTTCCTGAAACCACAGGCCAATACTTCCTAAATGACTGTTGCCTTTGTAGAGTGGATATAAGTATTCACTAATGTATATCATGTATCATTCTTAGTAGAGTTTAATTAAAATTAAAAAAGCAGATTCAATGTGCAATACTCCTCAAACGCTTTGGATTACTGTTTAACATATTACTTAGTTAAGTAAAAAAGCAGAAGGTAATTTATTTTTGAAGTTTGTAAGCTTTTATGATAGAAAGTTATAAGGCAAACATCCATGTAAGGTAGAGTTTCCCAACCCGTGGTACGCATATCCCCAAGGGTACAATACAGATCCCCTGAGGGCATGCAAAAAAATTCTGTAATGGTGGAATTGACTTCTGCACCACCGATCCTGGGCAGTTGCACACTGTCCCCATGGGCTTGAAAGGCGGTCGAGTGCTGACACCCTGGTATTCGCACCGCGGCTCCACTCCCTTGCCTCCTTATTGGAGTTCGCACTGAACGCATCGCATGGAGGTTGGGGAGAGGAGTGTGCATTGCATGGGAGGCTGGTATGGAGTGAATCGCATGGCAAGCTGGCTGGGACAGAGGAAATCATGCCCATGACATGCACTTGTGTTTACACACACTGGGATTGTAGAAATTTAAGAGACTCCTTTTGGTGCATGAAAAAAAGGTCAGTGCCCCCCTCCCCAAACACTACCCCCTCCCACACTGCCCCCCTCACTGTCACCCTCCCCACACGGTACCCCCACACTATATCCCCCCACACTGTCCCCCTCCCCACACATTGTCCCCTTCCCCTTACACACAGACTCCCCCACATACTCTCCCTACACTGTCCACCTCCCCACATACTGTCACGCTCCCACACAATACCCCCACACTGCCCACCTCCTATATGTTTCCTTCACACTGCCCTCCTCCACACACACTCCCCTTCTACTGTCATTCTGCCATTCACTGCCCTCACACTATTACCCTCACACACACTGCATCCACAGTGTCACCCTCCCCGCACACTGCCCCCACACTGTCACCCTCCCACACAATGCCCCCCTTTCCATTCACTGTCCCCACATCAAAACCCTCCCACACATTCCTCTCTCCACACATTGCCCCCACACTGTCACCCTTCCCACACACTGCCCCCACACTGTAACCCTCCCCACACTGTCCTTGTCAGGGGTTTGGTCTGGTAGTGGTGCTGACCAGTGCAGCAACCTCTATAGGGTGGAACCCAGAATGCAAAGAAACCAATAAATCAAGGCAAAAAAATAAGTGTATTTATATTTAAGAGTGTAGCTAAAGGGCATTTGGATACAGGACTGGCAAGGCCAGGCCTCTGGATACAGGACAGGCAGGGCCAGGCCTCTGGATACAGGACAGGCAGGGCCAGGCCTCTGGATACAGGACAGGCAAGACAAGGCCAGGCTTCTGAATACAGGACAGGCAAGGCAAGGCCAGGCCAGGCCTCTGGATACAGGACAGGCAAGGCAAGGCCAGGCCTCTGGATACAGGACACACTGTCCTTGTAGCAGTGCAGCAACCTATATGAGGTGGAACCCAGAATGCAAAGAAATAATATACATATAAATCAAGGCAAAAAATAAGGACAGGCAAGGCAAGGCCGGGCCTCTGGATACAGGACAGGACAGGTCTCTAGATACAGGACAGGCAAAGCCTCTGGATACAGGACAGGCAGGGCAAGGCCAGGCCTCTGGATAAAGAACAGGCAAGGCAAGGCCAGGCCTCTGGATACAGGACAGGAAAGGCCAGGCCACTGGATACAGGCACTGCAAGGCCAGGCCAGGCCACTGGATACAGGCACAGCAAGGCAAGGCGAGGCCTCTGGATACAGGACAGGCAAGGCAAGGCCTCTGGATACAGGCCTCTGGATACAGGACATGCAAGGCAAGTCCAGGCTTCTGGATACAGGACAGAACACACTCTCCCTACACTGTCATCCTCCCCCACACACTGTCCACCTTCACACATACTGTCACCCTCCCACAGTGTCACACTGGCCCCACACTGACATCCTCCCACACTGACCCCCTCCCTTACATACTACCCCTACACTGTCACCCTCCCACACTGCCCTCCTACCACACAATGTCACCCTTTTCATACACCCTGCCACACATAACCCTGCCACACATTCCCCCTCTCCACATACTGTTCCCCTCCCCACGCTGTTGACCTCCCCACACACTGTCGACCTCCCCACACCAAGTCCCCACACTGTCACCCTCCCCATACACTGCCCCTACACTGCCAACTCCCGCTCACTGTTACATTCCCTACACACTGCCCACACACTGTCACCCTCCACACACAGTGCCTCACACACTGTCCCCCTCCCCCACACTACTACTACACTGTCACCCTTCCACACTACCCCACATACTTCCACCACACTGTCCCCTCCCACATTGCTCTCCTTCCCACACACTGCATCCCCCACTTTCAACTTTCCACACTGTCTCTACACTGTCACCCTGACCCACTGCCCCCTCCCAAACACTGCCACTACACTGTCACCCTTCCACAGTACCCCCATACTGTCCCCCTCCTCACACACTACCACCACACGGCCCCCTTCCACATTGCCACCGCCCCATGTAGTGCCTCCCTCCACACACACTGCATACCACACTCTCACCCCCTCACACTCGCACTGTCCCCACACTGTCCCCCTCCCACATTGGCCCCCTACCCACACACTGCCCTCACACTGTCACCCTCCCACACTGTCAACCTCCTCGCACACACAATTACCCTCTCCCCACAGACTGCATCCCACACTGTCACCCTTTCCACATTCACACTGCTCCACACTGTCACCCTCACACACTGCCTCCCTCCCCTGCACTGCCACTACACTGTCACCCTTCCAAACTACCCCCACACACTACCACCACACAGTCCCCCTCCTACATTGCCCCCCTCCCCACATAGTGCCTCCCTCCCCACACACTACCGTCACAATGTCACCCTCCCACACTGTTACCCTCCTCCCACATACTGCCCCCAACACACCACCCCCACACGCTAACACCCTCCCACACTCAAACTGGCCCCTCACTGACATCCTCCCCCTACACTGTCACCGTCACCACACTGACACCCTCCCACACCATCACCCTCCCACACCATCACCCTCCCACACACTACCTCTATACTGTCACCCTCCCATGTACTGTCACCCTCCCCAAACACTACCCCACACTGTCCCCTCCTCACACACTGTCCTCCTCCTCACACACTGCCCACACACTTTCACCATTCCACATTGTCACCCTCCCCATTCACTAACCCCACCCTGTCACCCACCTCCCACACACTGCCCCACACACACTTCCCCCACTATTACCCTCCCCGCACTCTCACCCTCCTCATATACTACCTTCTCACTGCCCACCTTCCCACACTCTGCCCCCCCATACTCACATGCTCTAAAACTCACACTGCCCCACGCGGTCACCCTACAACACTCTCCCCTCCCCATACACTACCCCACACTGGCACCATTCCCACACGCCCCCCACACTGTCACCATCTAACACACCTTCACTGCCCCCTCACCCACATTGGCATCTCCCTCCACACTGTCACCATCCCCCACAATGCCACCCACACTATCCCTGTCCCACACACTGTCACCATTCCACACACTGCCCCTGCACACTTAACCCCTGCCCCCACACACTGTCCCACTCCACACACACACTGCCCCCACATTGTCCCTCTACCCACACACTGCCCCTACACTATCACCCTCCCCACACACTGTCTTCCTTCATACACATTGTCCCCACACTGTCACCTGCTCCCACACACTGTCTCCCTCCCCAAACACTGCCTCCACATTGTCACCCCCATGCACACTGCCCCCACACTGTCACAATCCCCACGCACAGCTCCCACACTATCTGTGGCAGAGGAGGAGCAGGGAGAGCCTGTGTGAGAGGAGAAGCAAGGAGGCCAGGGGCATAAGAGGAGCTGCGAGAGCCTGGGGCAGAGGAGGAACAGTCGAGCCTGTGACAGAAGAGGAGCAGGGAGAGCTTGCTATATACAAGGAGAGCTTGGAGGCAGAACAGGAGCAGGTAGAGTCTGGGCTAGAAATGCAGGAAGAGCCTGGGGTAGATGAGAAGCAGTGTAGTCTGGTGTAGGAGATCATGGAGAAGAGGAAAAGCAGGGAGAACCTTGGGCTGAGGAAAAGCAGCGACAACCTTGGGCAGATGAGGAGCAGGGGAGCCTGTGGCAAAAGAAAAGCAGTGGAGCCATGGGCAAATGAGAAGCATGAGAGCCATGGACATAGGAGGTGCAGGCAGGGCCAGATTAACAGCCCAGTGGGCCTGGTGCTGACAATTATGATGGGCCTAATTACAGAATCTTATCGACCAAAACACTAAAACACTCCCAAGCATCATGTATCTGATGGAGATGGTGCTTGAGGGAAAGAAAACAGCAGCTATAAGAAAACACATACCCTATGCTAATCTCTCTCTAATTTATGTTTTCATCTTTCAAGTAAATTCATAACCCGTAACAGCAGTGTCCAGTGAAGCAGGAAGTCAATGGGTGCGGTAAAAGGGTGTGCCACTGACGCAAATCACGTAACCTGCCAAAAGGGGCAAACATGCTTAAAAGGGAGGCATGTTTGTCCAAAGAATTGGAAGGCCAGCCTGGCATGAATGCATGTCAGGCTGCCTGCCAATCATGCAGGCTGTCCAACTACGGGCATACTATGCAGACAGCACCCTGAGCTTGGCATTAATGCGTCTAATGATGCGCTCGCTCAACGCTTTCCAAGGACTGTCCCCTAGCACTCACATGTCCACTTGTCTCCTTACAAGCAGGCAGAAGCTCCTGGTATATAGTCTGAGACAGAGAAAAGGTAGATGTAGTGAGTGTAGAAGAAAGGGAACATGCCACATTGTTAGAGAGACCAAAGTCAGCATTACCTTAACTAATTTTATTGTCAGCCAGTCCACACAAGTTTTGTTCCTATACATCTATCTTAAGTTTCCATACTTAAACAAGAGTATGTGAAAAGTAGTTAGGGTTGCCACCTTTCTTGGAAAAACATACCGGCCTAACTAATTTGCATAATTAATTCTGTTTAGGTGACCTCATATGATGTAAATCACAAGGAGTAACATAAGAGAAAATGCTGTAAAATCACCCAAAAAAACTTACAGTTTGATTCAGCTGTATAAATGGATTGCTACCAGTGTTTCAAGTCTCCAATTGTCCCAGTGTCCCCATGTGTCGATTAACTCAGGTCTCAGTGTCCCTATGTATCTGTGTCTCAGTGTCCCATGTCTCCCAGCGTCCCCTAGTCTCCCAGTACTGTCGTGTCTCCTAGTCTCCCAGTGACCCTATGTATCACAGTGTCCCTATGTATCACAGTGTCTCAATGTCCCCATGTCTCCCTGCCCCCCCGTATTCCCATGTGTCCCCATGTCTCCCAGAGTCCCCATGTCACTAGGACACAAGGAATATGATGAGACCTGGGGACACAGTGAGATCTGGGGACATCGGGAGACCGAGACACCAGGGACACTGGGAGACTAGGGGACACTGGCAGGGACACATGGGGACACTGGGAAAATAGGGGACACAGACACCAGGAACACAGACACTAGAGACACTGGCTGGGGGATATGGGGACATTGAAACATGGGGGCACTAGGAGACATGGGAACACTGAGACACCAGGGCCACAGACACTAGGGACACTGGCTGGGAGACATGGGGACATTGAGACCCTTGGGGCACTGGGAGACTAGAGGACACTTGGAGACATGGGGACACAGACACCAGGGACACTGGCTGGGAAACATGGGGACACTGGGAGACATGGGAACACTGTGTCCCCAAGTGTCTGTGTCATAATATCTCCCAATGTCCCTTAGTGTCTCAGTGTCCCCATGTCTCCTTTCAGCCTTTCCACCCATCCCTCACTTCCCTAAGCTGTAGGCTGTCTCTGCAGGGCGGGAGTTGCTGTCTGGACTCTCTGTAGCTGCTCCTCTGTGAATCAGTGAGTAGAGATAGGCAGTGAGGGATATGCTGGAACTTCCTATCCCTGCCTCTCTCCACACACAGTGACCCCTACTGGCTAGTGCTGGTATTGCGTCATAATCTCTGTTTATACTTAGAAAAATATCAGCATTTGTGTTTCCAGTATGACTGCAATATCGGCACTGCCCAGGCAGCCTCAAATACTGGCTGTGCCAATAAAATAAAAGTCAGTGGAAACCCTAAGAGTGTGTAAAAAAAAAATACAAAAAAAAATCAATGGGCCTATTCCATAGGCCTGGGCCTGGAGTTGCAGCTCCATCAGCCCCTATTTTAATCCGGCCCTGGGTGCAGGGAGAGTCTGGGGCAGAGTAAGAACAGAGGAGCCTTGGGCAGAGGAAGATCAGTGAAGCCTGGGGATGATGATGAGCAGGGGAGCCTGAGGACGGGCAGAGGAGACAGGGGCAAATGAAAAGAAAAGGAGACATTGGGGTTTATGAGGAGCAGGAAGAGTCTGGGGCTGATGAGTAGCAGGGAGAGCCTTGGCAACGTAGGAGCAGGGTAACCTAGGGCCGAGGAGGAGCAGGGAGAGCCAAATGCAGAGTAAAAGGGGAGTTTGGACAACAAAAGCTATACATTTGCAATAACGACAATTATATTAATTACAAACATTTTGATAATATGAAGAGTACAATTTATGGAAATGGGATGCCATGGAGTAAAAAAAGATTGGGAACCACTGATCTAAGGAAAGTAATCTCACCATATTCCATAAGGGTCAGCACAACCCAATTAAAGAATAAAACCCAAGACAATCCATATCATATTGGGTACTAGTTATTGTTACCTTCATTAAAGGGTTACTCTAACCCTACTTAAATATAAATTTATTTTAAGGAATAATGCTCTATATAGGGCATTATTATTTAGGTGCAATATATGGTGAAGTACTCAGTCATTCTATTAGTTTAAAATATATTACTCGAAAATCCATATCAGGTTTGTGCAAATGTGTTCTTAAAATGCAAACTGAATAAAGTGCAATTTAATAACTTGTCACAGTGGTTCCCAAACCAGTCCTCAAAGCAACCCAACCAGTCCAGGATTTAGAGATTACCCAGTTGTGTCTAAGGTGTTTAGAAAAAAAAAAAAACTTTAGATACAACTGGCTAATACCTAAATCCTTGATTGGAAGGGGTGCCCTGAAGACTGGTTTGGAAACCACTGACTTATAATGCAAACTTTGAATTTAAAAGTGGATAGTATTTTTGTATACCAATTTACAAATCATTTTAAGTGCCAATGAACAAAGAGCATCCACAATATACCAATTTCTCAAAATATTTGTGATTTTAAAATTACAGTGCTTATGGCAGACAGTATCTCGTTAAACCACTACAAATAATTTTTTGTGCTTTTTATTATATCCACAATACTGCTCAGGTCACTCTTTGGACAGGGGTAAAAACCTCAAAGACACAAATACAGAGAGCAACCTTAAAAAAACCTTAAAAACCCCCCAAAGAGAACTTAAAATGCCAACTCACAAAGGAGGAGCCAGGGGTATGGCTCAATGTTTTAGCCTTGGAGTCCTTTTGTATGGATTTAGACATAGGTTAAGTTGTTTTGGTGCCCTTTATCCCCTTAAGGATGGCGGGTGTTCTCTGCCACCCTTTTTTGGGTGGTCATAAACACCGGCGGGCGGCATAGAACGTCCCCACCGTCCTTTGTGGTCACCGGGTCCCCGCCATTCCCCTGACAGCGGTCGCAATCCTGGGGTCTGCCTGGGAGCTCAGGAAGACCCCCTATGCCTGATCCGGCTCCCCCGGCCATGTGATCACGAGGTCCTTGCGATCACATGGACGGAATAGCCGGCTAATGCAGTGCCTGCAGGGGGCCTGCCTGAGCTCTCAGGCAGTCCCCCTATTGCCTGTAAAAAAAGTTTTTAAAGTCAATAAAAGTTAATAAAAAGTTTAATAAAGTAAATAAAAGTACTTGGATCATATATATGATATAAGTACTTTTATATGCACATACACATACATAAACCATTAATAAAAGTGTATATATGGAGTAAGGATAAGCTTAGGATAGTGTAAAGGGAGCAAGTCGGTTGTGGTGTGCCGATACCGACGATACGGTAAGCCTGTAAATAAAGAGGGCCCACCAAGGAGTAAGAAAGTAAAGTAAATGGAAAGAAAAGAGAAAGTGTTGAAATGAGGAGTGGGTGGGAGGGTCATTCTGATGCTGACCTCAAGCGATATGAGTCAGGTAAGGGGTGTCCCTTATATAGGGGAGTGAATTAATTTAAGCCCCTCCCACAAATACAGGCAAAACTGCCTTAATACTTGTGTAAGGGGCAAAATAGCCGTATATGGAGTAAGGATCCAGCATAAGCTTAGGATAGTGTAAAGGGAGCAAGTCGGTTGTGGTGTGCCGATACCGACGATACGGTAGGCCTGTAAATAAAGAGGGCAAAAATGAATAATCAAAGATTTAATACAGTCAACAAATATATACAAATTAACCAGACATTTCCTTAAATGCATTACAGTATTTAATTCCTGAAAGGATTTTGAAGGTAGGAATCTAGGACCGAAAGTGGGCACCATTTGTTGTGGGTAGGATAGTATGTTATCTCTACTGTTGGTGCATGTTGACTCATTTCGGAATGTGGTAGAGCCAATAGGTAATGATATATGTGTTTACGTACGTGGGATCGTTGAAGACAATGATCTGTCTGAGTGGTGGTGATGGTAGTGGATTCTCTGGCCTGAGAAAGGCATAAAAGGCAATGTGCATGGCTGGTAATGGCCGACTTGGTAGTATAATTGAATGGTTGTAGATCTAATAGGTCCGATAAGGATGAACAGTTGGATGGCTATTGGTAATCTCTGAGAGGAACGTGGGGGAATGGATTCCTGAAAACCTCTGAGTATATTCTTTTCTGGTATGATAGCATGAAGTTTATGGTAGTTTTGGCCATAGGTTATCATGTGTTGTTGAATGCCTGTAAAATATATAATTAATGGTGTATGAGATAGTTTAAGTTTAAGGTGGCAAAAATAAGCAAAACTTAGGAGAAATTATATATAGAATGATGTTAATTTTATATATCTATATATATATATGAAACAAGGGGGGGTTGGCTGCACTCACCTGAACATGCATAAATAGGGGTGCTGCTGGGGGCCAAATGATACAATACACAAGATCCAGCGCACTCACCTATCCACTAAACAGCAACTTCAATGTTGAAAGATTTTTTTTTTTTTTTTTTTTTAAATCCTGATCCTGATGAAAGTCCCTACTGGGACTGAAACGTTGATCTTATATATTTTTAATGGATAATCAATAAACTTTATGTTTTAATCTTCAAAGACCAAGAGTGCTAATCACTATATATATATATATATATTTGTGTAAGGGGCAAATAGCCATATATGGAGTAGCGTTCAAGTAAGAACGTAGGATAGTATAAAGGAGCAAAGTCAGTTGTGGTGTGCCGATACCGACGATACGATAGGCTTGTAAATAAAGAGGGCCCACCAAGAAGTAATAAAAGTAAAGAAAATAGAAGGAAAAAGAAAGTGTTGAAAATGAGGAGTGGGTGGGAGGGTCATTCAGATGCTGACCTTGATCGGTGTGGAGTCAGGTAAGGGGTGTACCTTATAAAGGGGAGTGATTTAATTTAAGCCCCTCCCACAAATACAGGCCAAACAGCCTTAACCCCTTAAGGACCAAACTTCTGGAATAAAAGGGAATCATGACATGTCAAGTTCAAGTAAAAACGTAGGATAGTATAAAAGAGCAAAGTTGGTTGTGGTGTGCCGATACCGACGATACGGTGGGCCTGTAAATAAAGAGGGCAAAAATTAATAACCAAAGATTTAATACAGTCAACAAATATATATACAATTATCCAGACATTTCTTTAAAAGCATTTCTTAATTCTTGTGTAGGTTTTGATATGTAAGTCGTATATGCGGATGACTTCCAACGCCCCAGTGTTTTATTGATATGTACCGGTATGTTAGCGCTAGAAGCTGTGGAGGCCGCCCCTATGCGGAAGGAGTGACCTGAGTAGTGAGAAGGGTTAAAACCTAGTATGGTTAACAGGGATCGGATGTATTTCATGAAAGTCGTGGTAGTGAGAACAGAGCCTTTTAGTGAGAATAGGTGTTGTGATGGTGGTGACGTGGTAAGTGAAAGGTAGGAATCTAGAGCTGTTACTGGACACCATTTGTTGTGGGTAGGGAAATAAGTGATCTCCACTGGAGGTGCGTGTTGGCTTGTTTTTGACTGGGGTAGTGACAGTATGTAGTGAACCATGTGTTTGCATAGGTGTGTGTGTAGAAGACATCTGTCTGTCTGAGTGGTGGTGATAGTAGTGAATTCTCTTGGCCTGAGGAACCTGTAGAATGCTATGTACATGGCAGCTTTGTTGACTGTGTTGGTGGTAGAGTGAAAAGGTTTGGAGTCTTACAGGTCAGATAATGACTAGAAAAGTGTGTTGTCTATAGGTAATCTCTGCGGAGGACATGGAGGAATGGATTTCTGAATACCTCTGAGTATGTTCTTTACCTGATAAGATGACATAAAACTATGTGTATGGGGTTGTAGTGTTAGCATGTGATGTTGAATGCCTGTCAGATATAATTTGATTGTGTTGTAAGATAAGTGTAATTTAAGGTGGCAAAAAGAAGCGAAGGCTATAATAGATTCCTGAGAAATCTCATGATTGTTAGGGATGATGAACGGCCTTTGTTAATGATGTCACATGTTGCTTGGTTGTCTGTGTGGCAACGGACTGACAAGCCTGACCATAAATGTCCCCATGGCAGCTGCTACAATGGGGTAAATCTCAAAAAGATCTGAGGTTGTAAAAAAGCCTTCTAAGTCATAGACTTCTTCAGGCCAATTACCCCAAAGCCATTCGTTCCCAAAGATCGCTGCGAAACCTGTGGTAGACGCAGCGTCTGACCATATGGTTGGGGATATGTCAGACAACTCTGGGAACAAGCTTTTACCATTCCAGGTGGTCAAGAATTCTTTCCACATGTGTAGGTCTGCCGTGGAGTGCGCATCCAAGGACAGTCTATAGTTGTCGTGTTGGAAATGAGGAAAAAGACAGAGAAGTCTAGATATGAAAGCACGCCCTTGAGGGATGATGTGCATGGCAAAGTTGAGAGATTGAAGTTCCTTGCGGTTGCAATTACCCAGCAAGATGTAATGGTTGATACTGTTGAGGATGTTTGTCATTTTTTCTTGTGGTAAACTAGCTTGCATAGAGGCAAAGTCTAGTTGTATACCCAGAAATGTAATGATTGTGTCTGAACCTTCGGTTTTCTTAGAGGATACTGGGACTCCCAGGTGGTCAAACAGACTAATGGTTTCTTTGAGACTCCTGGGGGGAAAGGAGTTTTCTTCGATCAGCAAGAAATCATCCAGATAATGGGTGACAATGGGGCATCTGGAAATGTTAAGTAACAACCAGCAAAGTGATTCTGCAAAAGTGTCGAAGATTTTATGGCTACTTTTTGACCCAAGGGTTAAGCAGGAGAAAAAGTAATAGTTATCTGCCCATTTGATGCCATGTAAGTGCCAGAGTGTAGGGTGGATAGGTAGTAGTTTAAAGGCATTTGTAATGTCTGTCTTACTTAGCCAAGCTCCAATCCCTGCTTGCGTGATGGCTGTGATGGCATGATCTATAGTGGCATATTGTAGGGAAAACTCTTTGGAGGGAATAAGGGAGTTAAGACTCAGGGTAGACGAGGTATGAGGGGCTGAGAGATCTATGATGAGTCTCTGCTTCAGGGAAGATTTCCCTGTGACTATCCCGATGGGATTTGTACGCCATGCCGTAAAAGTTGGGGTTTTAAAAGTCCCGAACAAAAACCCCTCTGCCAATTCTTGGTCTAAGAGTGTATCTATGGCTGTTGGGTTTTGTTGTGCTGATTGTAAATTTGGACATTCAAGATGGCCTGTGGGCATATGTATAATGCCTGTATGGAACCCCTCTGAGAAACCAGAGATGAGAAAATCTACCATATGTCTGGAGGGGTGATTGGTCAGTAGTGCTGAGAAGACATGAATGTTAACAGACGTTAGGTATGGTTTAGGGTACATTTTATTTGGATACATGGTTTTTGCATGTGCCCTGAAACAATGTGAACAAATATGCAATAACCTGCATGCACTAAAGCTACATGTACCCACATTGAAATTATTGCACACCTGTAATTTACAAAAGAAAATGACGACCCAGTTTGTCTGGTGGTTCTCTCAGTTCTACCCACGTAGCTGATGCTAGGTGAATGATTACAGTAGTCTGCCGTGTGAGAACAAAAATTAGTAGTGTGAGTAGTAGAAGAGCAGGATGCACAAGCCGGTGTTTTGAGACCTGCGAAGTGTCTACAGAATAGTTCCGTATCTAGTCTGCTCCAGTTGATATGGGTACCATACTGAGAGAGAGCGCCAGACACCTTTGTGGAAAAAGACCTATGGTAGTCGTAAAAAGCCGACCCACCATTTTTGTTCCCCAGGTCCACCAGCTTGTGCATGTAGCGATCAAACTCTTCCCTTCTATTAGGGTACACTTCACAAATAACATCTCTAAATATACCAAAAGCTAACACAAATTCAGGGATGGTCAGTATCTGGTTTAACCTGGCATCTTTGGACCTGACCTTAACAGATACTTCATCATACATATAAGTCTTATTTTCAACCACATCCGGGGAGGCAATTAGTAGGGATGCTAGGTTGACATCTTTGCCTTCCAGGATGTCTCTCTTAATGTGGGCTGGGATAGTGTGTGCAGGATCAACGTCCTGATAATCTGAAGAGGTAATATTACCCATAGCCCGTGGTTCGGTTGGTGCCTGTTGAGCGGTATCAGGAAGGCTAGCCTTGGTGAGGGCTGTGGTGACCGCCGCGAGGTTAGCCAGTCTGTCGTTAACCTTGCCCATAGAGTTCATGAGCGAGGCCAGCATAGCCTGGATGTAACTCGAGTTGGTGTTGCTGGAGCCTTCCCCTGCTTCCGTATTGTCGGTTGTAGTGCTTAGGAGTTTGAATAGCTCTGCTTTCCTTGCTGTTGCAGGGTAGGGGATTTGTCGCCTCCTTAGCTCGGTGGTGATGCGTGGGATCGTCCAGGCTCTGATTGATGCTGGACTGGCAACATCTCTCCTACGAGAGGGTGTCTCGACCCTAGCTGGGGTGCCATGAAGAGATAGCTCTTCATCACCTTCATGAGACATACTTAAATAAATAAAAGATAAAATTATTATTTGAACCGAGTAGTTTAGTACAGGCTTGCTAGCTATGCCGTAAGGTGAAACCATTATGCTTATTGTTTTGGTGACAGGTGAGGCCCTGCTAGTTGCCAAGCTGCTTGAGAGGCTCTATCTATGCTTGGTGCGAGGGGATTTTTGTGGCCACTGAACGTTGTGGCAGGATGTTATCCTCTCAGTGACTGTAACCAGAAAAAAAAGGAAGGGGAGTGACAGGTGAGGCCCTCTCTATGATACGTGCGAGACGGCTAGCTCACGTGTGGGTGTATGCTTCTGAGTTTGAGGCGGGGGATGTTGGCCTCGCGGGACCACTAATCCGAAGCATAGTGCAGAGAAAAGAGGCCGATTACCTATTTGCCCCTATGACCCTAATTGCCAGTACTTATGTCTATTCTGTGGGAGATTTTTGTTATGGATATACTGTAAGCAGGTGTACGTACCTGGAAGTATAGTTTTGTAACCTGATAATCCGTATAGGTACCAGTAGTACCTGTAACTAAATAGATGTATCCGTATGAAAATAATGACAAATGGCCAACCCATTGTACCTTAATTATGATTGGTTGTTTTGACCTGTAGAGGTCAATGGAGATGATGTTTGTAGTTTCACGGTACGAATGTACTTGCTGACCTGTAGGTGGCAGTGTCTGAGTTGTAGCATGGTGGACGTAATAATATGTAGCGTGAGTTCTAAGTATTAATTTTATGTAAAATTCCCCTGGTGACCATATATGAAGTGGTCTGTAGGTGGCAGTGTAGGTAGAGATCATGTATAGATGTCAGTGAAGAGTTTGTAAAATTAATGTATGATAATGTACTTGTCGACCTGTAGGTGGCAGTGTAGAGCCACCGTTATAATGTGTATTGTAAAGTCAGACATTTATAATTAACACATGTCCCCTCCCACAAATACAGGCCAAACGGCCTTAATACATATAAAATAAAAATAATCAATAAATACAATTTAAAAAATGAATAAGAACAAATAAAAAAAAATAAAAAAAAAAATATATACCAGTTGTAATTTGTTCTAACTGTATTTTGATATTAATATACATATATATTCAATTCAAAATACATTTAGAATGACATTATAAATACATATATGTATCTAAATATCTATATCTCTCTCTCTATATAACTATATATAAATAACAATACTAAAAAAAGTTATATATACACATATAAATATATATATATATATATATTTGTGTTTGGGGCAAATAGCCGTATATGGAGTAAGGTTCCAGCATAAGCGTAGGATAGTATAAAGGGAGCAAGTCGGTTGTGGTGTGCCGAGACCGACGATACGGTAGGCCTGTAAATAAAGAGGGCAAAAAGAATAATCAAAGATTTAATACAGTCAACAATATATACAAATTAACCAGACATTTCCTTAAATGCATTACGGTATTTAATTCCTTGAAGGATTTTTGAAGGTAGGAATCTAGGACCGCAACTGGACACCATTTGTTGTGGGTAGGATAGTATGTTATCTCTACTGTTGGTGCGTGTTGACTCGTTTCGGAATGTGGTAGAGCCAATAGGTAATGATATATGTGTTTACACACGTGGGATCGTTGAAGACAATGATCTGTCTGAGTGGTGGTTATGGTAGTGGATTCTCTGGCCTGAGAAAGGCATAAAAGGCAGTGTGCATGGCTGGTAATGGCCAACTTGGTAGTATAATTGAAAGGTTGTAGCTCTAATAGGTCCGATAAGGATGGAAAAGTTGGATGGCTATTGGTAATATCTGAGAGGAACGTGGGGGGATGGATTCCTGAAAACCTCTGAGTATATTCTTGTCTGGTATGATAGCATGAAGTTATGGTAGTTTTGGCCATAGGTTATCCTGTGTTGTTGAATGCCTGTAAAATATATAATTAATGGTGTGTGAGATGGTTTTAGTTTAAGGTGGCAAAAAATGAAGCAAAACCTAGGAGAAATGTTATGACACAGGTTGAGCTATGTCGTGTTCCAATGAGATTCTTTAAAGCCAGGTGAATAGGTGCGTTCTACAAGTATGGGATGAAAGTGCTAGGTGGGATAGTGCATGCTATGCTGCATGAGTATGTCTAATCCATGATTTTGTCTCTGGAACGAAAGAGTGGCCGTGACTGTATATAAGGCTGTAGGAAGCGTATGATTAACGTGCCTGGAATATAAATGAGACAATTGTCGGCAAGGATGTATACCACCGCCTGGTACATGAAAGTAAAAGAAATGTGGTAAGTGGCCAACCAAGTGAGTTCCCCAGCAATACCATGATCGTATGGATGATGAGTGGCATTTGTTGATGATATGACATGTGCTTAGTTGTCTGAGTAACAACGGATTGATGACCCTGACCATGATTTACCCCATGCCACAGCAGCTGCTTTTAGCGGGGAAAGGATTGCCCATTTTATGCCATGTAAGTGCCAGTTTGTAGGGTAGATGGTAGCTGTTTACTGTGTTGATGATATTGGTCTTACTTAACGAAGCTTCAACCCCTGCTTGAGTGATAGCTGTAAAGGTAGATCAATGGTGTGTATAGTAAGGAAACTCCTCGGAGGGTATGAGGGAGTTGAGACTTGGGGTAGCGAAGGTGTGTGGTGCCAATAAGTCTATGGTTAGTCTTTGTTTAAGGGAAGATTCCCTTGTGACAATACCAATGCGTTTGTGTTTGGTGCCATGCTGTAAATGGTGGAGATTGGAAAACCCAAGTAAAAACCCCTCTGCAAATCTTGGCTATGAGTGTGTTTACAGCCGACGGTTCTGTTGTGCTGACTGTAAGTGAGGGCATGCTATATTCCTTGAGAGTTTATTTATGATACCTGTATGGGAGCCCTTTGAAGCTCCAGAGCCTTAGTAACTCTACTACAAGTCTGGAAGGGTGATGAGTCAGTAGTGTTGAAAATGCATTGGTGTGTACAGATGGTGAGTACGTTATTTGCAAGTTGCATTGGGACACATGGTTTGTCATGTGCCCTGAATGATTTGAACATATATGCAACAGTCTATATGCAATGCAACTACTAATACCAATTGTCTATGGTAGTTCAGAGGTGCTGGTACCTGGAGCCTGAGAGTGCTCACCCGTTTGTTTGGGAGAAAATCCCTTCTGTATGGGTACCTGCACAAATAAGCATCTCTACATATTCCAAATGCCAACACAACCAAGGGATGGTCAGTTCCCGATTTACCTAGAATCCCTGGGTCTGACCATCATAGATACATCATCATACATATATATGCCTTGTTTCCCCAATGTGCCGGGATCATATGTGCAGGGTTAACGTCTTGTACCAAGTAACCGAGTTTCGGTTGGTGCTGGTTGTACAGTAGCGTGAGGCCCAGCCTTGTGAGGGCTGTGACTGACTCGAAATTGCCAGTCTGTCGTAAATTTTTTGGCTCATGAGTTTATGAGTGAGCTAGCATGGCCTGGGTGTCACCTGAGTTGGTGTTGCTGGGCCTTCCCCTGCCTCCGTGTTGTCCATTGATGTATGGAGGAGTTTGAATAACTCTGCTTTCCTTGCTGTGGCAGGGTAGGGGATTTGTCGCCTCCTTAGGTCGGAGCCACATCTCCTCTGCTTGAAGGTGTATCACTTCTAGCCGGGGGGGCCAGGAAGAGGTGATTCTTCACCATCTTTTTGAGAAATACTTAAATAACAATAAAGATTGCAATTATTATTTGTACCCAGGGTCTTGTACTGGCTTGCTAGCTAAGCCGTAAGGCGAAACGATAAGGCTTGGTGTTTTTTGGTGACTGGTGAGGCCCTGCTAGTTGCCAAGTGGCTTGAGAGGCTCTATCTATGCTTGGCGCGAGGGGATTTTTTTTTGTGGCCACCGAACGTTGTGGCAGGATGTTGGCCTCTCGGTGACAGTAACCAGAAAATAGGAGGGGGAGTGACAGGTGAGGCCCTCTCTATGATACAATGCGAGGCGGCTAGCTCACGAGTGGCCCGAGGGGTGTATGCCTCCGAGTGTGAGGCGGGGTGTTGGCCTCGCGGGACCACTAACCAAAGCGTAAAGCAGAGAAACAGGGGGTAATACCTATTGGGCCATAGAACCCTAATTGCCAGTACATTACTACTATTCCAGGGAAGGTAAGAGATGAAGGTGTATCACTTCTAGCCATGGTGCTAGGAAGAGGTGATTCTTTACCATCTTTTTGAGAAATACTTAAATAACAATAAAGATTGCAATTATATATTTGTACCCAGGGGTCTTGTACCGGCTTGCTAGCTAAGCCGTAAGGCGAAACGATTAGGCTTGGTGTTTTTTGGTGACTGGTGAGGCCCTGCTAGTTGCCAAGTGGCTTGAGAGGCTCTATCTATGCTTGGCGCGAGGGGATTTTGTGTGGCCACCGAACGTTGTGGCAGGATGTTGGCCTCTCGGTGACAGTAACCAGAAAAATAGGAAGGGGAGTGACAGGTGAGGCCCTCTCTATGATACAATGCGAGGCGGCTAGCTCACGAGTGGCCCGAGGGGTGTATGCCTCCGAGTGTGAGGCGGGGTGTTGGCCTCGCGGGACCACTAACTGAAGCATAATGCAGAGAAAAAAGGGGGTAATACCTATTGGGCCCTAGAACCCTAATTGCCGGTACACTATTACTATTCCAGGGAAGGTAAGAGATGGATAACTACGTGAGCAGGTGTACGTACCTGGTAGTATGGTATTGAACCTGACAATCCTTATAGGTTTTTTAGTAGTAACTGTAACCTGAATGGATAAAATCGTATGGCATAAGGAAATATGGCATAGACCAAGCTTATCTTAAAACATACAGTATATGTGAAAGTAAAGTGCCGTGATATGTAAATATTAAACATCATATCCATACTGGTTAAATATGTATCAATCTTAACCCATTAAGTGCTGTATGTATGTGAACCATATTACCAGTTACGTATATACAGATGCGTGTGCTACTGTGTAATAATATGTGTATTTATAACAGATATTGATATACTGCTTGCTATGTGAATTGTTGTATGCCTTATTGAATGGCAAGTGAACATGGAGTTGCAAAATGCAAGTGCACTGGAGATCTGCCGAGTGCCCTATAGGTGGCAGTGTAGTTGATACTGATTGGTATGTGAAATGTTGTTTGTCTGTTGACCTATAGGGGTCAGTGTTTTGGTGTTTGTAAAACCCCATGAAAATTGTCAATGTACTTGACAGACCTGTAGGTGGCAGTGTTGATAGAACCACTGTTAGTGTTAATGTGAAATGTAAATTATTGTGAATTAAACCTGAAGTTGAGCCCGTGTTGGAGTTTAATTCATGGTTTATGGTTATGTTTAAAACAATCTTATGCGTAATTTATATTGGCTGGTAATTGTATATGACATGTGAAGACAGTTTTGCTGTTGACCAGTAGGGGTCAGAAATTCTGATTGTATGGTAAAATACCCTTTAACCCCTGAAGGATACATGACATGTGTGACATATCATTTATTCCAGAGTTTGGTCCTTAAGGGGTTAATCCAAATGCAAGGTTAACGTGAGATTTTGAGAGTGACCTGTAGGGGTCAGTGTGGTTTATGTGAAACATTGTTTGTGAGCTATGCCCCAGCATTATAGTTGTGTGACAGGGAAACAAACAGTGCCCGTTTGACAATATACAATAAGTGAACATAATAGCTTAATAACAGTCATTGTAACAAACCAAAGTTCTGTTCATGGGTTGTAAACGCACGAAGCGTGTGTGTAGTACAATAGTAAATGCATGAACTAGTTCCCGTTTGGTAGAAAATTGCACGAACCGTGAGCCTGGTATGTCAGGGAAACAAAACGAAACGAGCAGTGAGATTCGAAATGCACGCACAGAATTGCCTAGTATGTTTAGGCAATTGAAACAGAATGTGTTCCCGTTTGGGAGTATGCTAATGCTCGAAATGAGCCAGTGACAGAAATAAACAAGTGAGTTTAAACAAATGATATGATATCACTTCTAGCCATGGTGCTAGGAAGAGGTGATTCTTTACCATCTTTTTGAGAAATACTTAAATAACAATAAAGATTGCAATTATATATTTGTACCCAGGGGTCTTGTACCGGCTTGCTAGCTAAGCCGTAAGGCGAAACGATTAGGCTTGGTGTTTTTTTTTGGGTGACTGGTGAGGCCCTGCTAGTTGCCAAGTGGCTTGAGAGGCTCTATCTATGCTTGGCGCGAGGGGATTTTGTGTGGCCACCGAACGTTGTGGCAGGATGTTGGCCTCTCGGTGACAGTAACCAGAAAAATAGGAAGGGGAGTGACAGGTGAGGCCCTCACCTGTTTGGGAGTATGCTAATGCTCGAAATGAGCCAGTGACAGATATAAACAAGTGAGTTTAAACAAATGATGCAATGGTTTTAGGACAGATTTAGACCAAATGCAGCCGTAAAGTGAGGACCTGACCCGTGCATGGTGCCTGGCGTAACGGGTAGGCCGACTTACGGTTTGTGAGTCACTTGGACACCATCCACAGCAATAGATTGAAGAAAGAAGGTGATAGGCCGGAAAAGCCTGTGGCTGAATTCCTGACACAGCTCAAGTTAGAAAACCTCATGGAGTAATCAGGTAAAATGGCGTCTGGATGACCCGGAAGTGGAAATCATTCTGATGCTGACCTCAAGCGATATGAGTCAGGTAAGGGGTGTCCCTTATATAGGGGAGTGAATTAATTTAAGCCCCTCCCACAAATACAGGCCAAATGGCCTTAAAACATATACATATATATATATTTTTTCAATTCTACAAATATATTTATATAATATTTTTACATAATCAAGTTATTTTATTAATTACAATTTGTGGGACCTGCCTGACAGCCCAGGCTGAAAGTCCAGAGAATTTGGCTTGCAAGCCCTATATTTAACACTGTAACTTTCTAGGATACCATAAAAACTGTACATGGGGGTTATTGTTTTACTTGGGAGACTTCGCTGAACACAAATGCAGTTTTTTGCATATTTCACACACAAACAGTACTTCCACTGACGATATTGTTGTGATACATTTTACTATTTTGAAACACTAATATTTGTGTTTGGCGAAGTCTCCTGAGTACAACAGTACCACCCATGTACAGGTTTTATGGTGTTTTCAAAAGTTACTGAGTCAAATATAAGGCTTGAGTTTCCTTTTTTCCCCACTGGTTATGTTGCTTTTGAGACTGTATGGTAGCCCAGGAATGAGAATTACCCCCATGATGGCATACCATTTGCAAAAGTAGACAACCCAAGGTATGTCCAGTCTTTTTTAGTAGCCACTTAGTAACAAACACTGGCCAGAATTAGCATTCAATTTAGTTTTTTGCATTTTTCACACACAAACAAATATGAATGCTAAATTTGTTTGTAACTAAGTGGCTACTAGAAAGGACTGGATATACCCCATTTGTAATGCCTTGGGTTGTCTACTTTTGCAAATGGTATGCCATCATGGGGGTAATTTTCATTCCTGGGCTACCATTTGGTCTCAAAGGCAACATAACCAATCTGGCGAATCTCAATGTGCATAACCTGAAAAATGTAACATGCTATATTTGACCCTTTAACTTCCCCCAAAAAACATAAAAACCTGTACATAGGGGGTACTGTTTTACATGTGAGACATTGCTGAATACAAATATGTGTATTTTATTCCAGTAAAGCTAACAGTATTATGACATTCACCGTTAAAATGTCACGTAGAACTAAAAAAAACATTTCCCCCCATTTTTTTATATTTTATTCATATTAAATTAGGTTTCATAGCTAAATATTGACGTTAAATGAAATCCCTGTTTCCCCTGAATAAAATGATATATAATAAGTGTGGGTGCACTTAATATAAAAGAGGTGAAATACAGTTGAACAGACATAAACAGTCAAATTCCAGGTTTTGGTTACGTTTTGTTTTGATCACAACGTGTACATTTGGCTCAGTCCTTAGGAGGTTAAATGCATCCCTTTTGGTGTTTTGGTGTCCCTTTAAATGTGAAATTCACTATGAATGCCTGACTTAAGTAAATACCCTGTTAGTGAGTTAGTTATGAATTTGTGCCAAAAATGTGGCAGTGCCCTTTATTTAGAATTCCAATACACACTGGCAACTTACTGTCAATACACATATTATATATGACTGAGATTACTACTCCAACAGAAGGTTCCTTCAAACTGATACCTGACCGACATATTTATCTTTAATTAGCTTTCATGGTTTTGCTTTCTTTTCTTAGATAATCGGTTGGACTTTAATTGCTGCTGTGTTACTTCTAGCAGTGCTAAGTATATGCGCAAGTCGATGTTGCTCACCAGTTCGTTATCGACAGAGGAAATTTTGGAAAAGTTATATAAGACATGAGCAGGAGATGGTTGATAAAAAAACTAATGAGCTTGCCATCAGCTTTGCAGAAAGGAATGTTACAAGTTTTTTTGAACAGACCCAACCTGATCCATTCGTAATGCCGACCTCCAGAGAATGGCAGCGTATATCCTCATCTTACAATTTCAAAGCGAATCCGGACTACTATAGCATGATACACAAATTAATAGAGGGAAATACCAAGACAAACGGAGAAAAAGAAGCATCAGAAACTGTTTAGTGGGATTCTATGTGCTAAATAGTCATGTGAATTTGTTACTCTTTCATCATTATGTTGCCGCTGCATAAAAGGTTTTGTGAAATGTTAAACGTAAATATACTTTTTCTCCCTCTGTATTTTTGCAGATCAGCAGTTCCTCAGCTTCCTGTTTGTAATTCCCTGCTCACGTCTCAAAAATGTCTAATTTGAGCCAATAAGAGTAAACCAATGACTGTGTATGTGAATCATTACTTCAGCACTATTCAGCACAGCCTTTACATCAATATCAAACCGAATACCACACCATACATATATTACCAAAAATGTCTCTATCTCTAATGATTGTCATTATATAGTTGCAGTTTACATGTTTTGTCTGTAGCCTCTCTTTAAAGGGACACTATAGTCACCAGAACAACTTCAGCTTATTGAATTTGTTCTGGAGTGTAGAATCATTACCTTCAGGCTATTTTGCTGTAAACACTGTATTTTCAGAGAAAATGCAGTGTTTACATTACAGCCTAGTGATAACTTCACTGGCCACTCCTCATATGGCTGTTAGAGATCCTTCCTTGGTCATGGCTGCCTAAAATGCATCCAATCATTCCGTATCTCCTCCCTCTGCATGCAGACACTGAACTTTCCTCATAGAGATTCATTGATTCAATTCATCTCTATGAGGAGATGCTGATTGGCCAGGGCTGTGTTTGAATCATGCTGGCTCTGCCCCTGAACTGCCTCATTGTCAGTCTCAGCCAATCCTACGGGGAAGCACTGTGATTGGTTCAGGCTACCACTTCTGATGATGTCAGCAGACTGCTTGTTTTTTTTTTTTAGGCAAACAGCATGCAGATCTACAGCTTCTGGCTTGAATACAGTAATATGTTGCTATATTTATGGAGGCATGAAGGGCCCAGGGGGGCTAGATGGTGGTTTTAACACTATAGGGTCAGGAATACATGTTTGTGTTCCTGATCCTATAGTGATCCTTTAAAGTTGACTACATTCTAAACAATAAACAAAATGCTGCAACACGTTTCCACTAATAACTTTTTAGTGTTTTGGGTGGTTAGCATGACTGAACTGACCTTAGGAGACTATAGGTACATCCAGTGACTTGGACAACCATAATACTGGAGACACTGTATTTAATAAGATTCCTTTAAACTCTGCTTCAGGTGCCCATAGTCACAGAGTCACAAACAAATGTATTTGATGCAAGGCTTATCTTATTATAGCCTACAGAAAGTTTATTCCGTCTTTCCCTTAAAATAAGACTGGGTCTTATATTAATTTTTCCCCCGAACAAAGCACTAGGGCTTATTTTCGGGAGATGTCCTATTATGGTGAAAAATAATAGCAAGCACCTGCTTGAAAGTAGGCCTACGTTCGGGGGATTTCCCGAACATAGATAAGCGAACTAGTGACTAGTGCTTACTTTTGGGGGATGTCTTATTTTTTGGGGAAAACGGTAGTAAACATAGATAATACACATAATAGAAAATATATACAAAGACAGCAAGATGGGGGTACAGAACAATTTCACACAGGAGTATATTGCATAACTAAGGTAGTAATCTATATTCAACTCTGACTTTACCGAAAAATAGAAGGGCAACCAGGTTAGTCACGTGCACAACTTAAAATTAAGGAAAGCAACAACAATAAAACAGACAATATATATATCTGCAGTACAAAAAGTGTTCCTGGCATATTCATCACACTCTAACACCTAAAGGGACACTCTAAACACATAATGACTATGAAGCAATAGCCTGCTGGCAGTGGCTAATGTGCTGAGAGGGCCTTTTTAACTTTTAATAGTTTAGTAAGGTAAAATATTTTCTTCTATGTATGCGATTATTCTTTGGTAAATTATAACACCTTGCAGATTACGTAGTTTAGTTTGATTTTATTCTCCAAACATTGACTTTTGGTGAATTTAAAACATAACTTAAAAATCTAGTAACCGAAAACGTATTAAAGTTCTAAACTCATCTGTATTCAAAACTTGAGTATTTTGTCAATATTGTGTGTTATGTATTCAATCCACCTTGATTCACTATTTAGTGAATAAACCCCTATTTGAAACATATTTGTAATTATTAAAACATATGTATGTATTCGCAAACATTTGATATTTTTTGTTTTAGCTGATTGTGTATGTGAGTGCCATCTGGTGGTTAAATGGATGACAAGCAAAACTAGGAATTGTACAGAATATATATAGTTTTATATTACATTATAGTATGATATATCATGTACGCAATGTATGGATTGTATAATAAAGAAAACAATAGTAAAAAAATATATAAAAATATAAAATCATATTTGGTTAGATGCTTACAATAAATTTTTTACTAAAATCCTTAACTAGTTCTAAACTAATAATACCCAATATGTTGACACATCTGTATGTGGGTGGCTTAATTTATACAGGAAGTAGAAACAATCCTGTATTTTTTTTTTTTTTCATTTTCCATATGAAATATAAATACAGTAGGAAATGTTTTGTTTACAGGTAATGGGAGATATATTGTATTGAAATGTATGTTATAGGAAAATAATGCCATTAAGGGATTTAGCATGTCTCATAAACTCAGGGAAATAAAAAGTCAACTTTCTTTTAAAATATTTATGAGCATTTTGATAAATACAAACATTATGTCAAATTTATGAACAATTTGTTTTCTCTGACTAATGTCCGCAGAATATGTTTGAACGTGCTTCATTTGATTCCCTTTGTAAAATAAATGCTTTTAATCATATATATGTACGGTTTTCTTTTAAAGTTTTAATTTAAATATGAGGATAATGCATCTCACCTTCCTTAAAGAATGTCAAACTAAGTTTTATTATAAGAGAATGGCATATTTTATGGTAATCGAATATAACTTTTTTTTCCATGGATATGAATGGGAGAATTACAGTTTAGATAACAATGTAACGTTACTGTTTACATCAATGGCTGGATAGTGATTGACTGAGGGCATCATCCACTGGCATTCTGGCAAATCTTCCACATACTGCAGTGGCCAGGTCAAAGGATGCAGGGGGCAACAGTGTTGGACATTGGTGGTCCAAAATTAGGGTTAAACCATGGTTTAAAATGATTTAATCCCTGAAGGTAAGCTTTAATGAGCGGGAGTTGTTATTGGGGTGGATATTTTCCCTTGTATTATTAACAAAGCAATATTATGTGAGGAAATACCTTGAATTACACAGGATCATTTAATTCTCTTATGATAAAGATATGTTTTGCTTTCTACTTTTAGGGAGACTTGGTGTTATTATTAACAATATTAACCTGTGCAATTCTCCAACTAAGCAATTGGATCTACTGGTAATATAGATTTATTATAAAATTATATAAAAATAAAAACTAATAGGAGCGCTAAAAAGGCATTTAGGTGGTGGTGGTGGGGATTGGGAAAAGACCTCCTTTCAATAAATACACCATTACCTTTTAAAATACACCAGTGGTTATAATTATATACAGAATTGTGTATGCATTCAGAAGCAGCTTCACACTTAAGTGCTTTACACCCTAAGGAAAAAAACAAAAACCCTGATACACAGCAACAATAATATAATCAATAGAGAAAAAGTTACTCTAAGGCAGACTAATACTGCTGGTAATATAGAGTAAATATGTAGATATAATACAACAATGTTTATTAACAACAGATATACATAAAAACAATGAAATCATAAAAGAAAAGATGTATAAAAAGATATACCGTATTTTCCATGTATAAGACTATGTTTTATTCTAATTTTTTTTACTCTTAAATTGTGGGTCATCCTATACACGGAATGTCACTGCAGGGGTTAAAAAACCCCACACGAGAAACCCACAAGATGGCGTCTGACGCATTCCCGTGTGCCATAGCCCACAAATATCTGGTCTCCCTTCTGCCGATCCACTTCTGAATCCTGTGGCAAGGAGGAAGAGGTACCTATTTGCGTGGGAGCTCCAGCAGATGTCAGAACTTACCACCAACGGAGCTCCAGAGACATGCCACACCATAAAAAGAGCAGCCATATTAAGGTATGCTCCACCTCAGGTAGGTCTTGCTTTCTGATTTATATTTATGTAGGAGGAAATGGGGAGCAGTGGGCAGAGGGAATACTGCTGAGATGTCCCAGCATGCGTTCATACCACCAGCTGTATTGTGGAAACTGCACAAAAGAGCCATTAACTTCACAGAGTACTGTAGCACAGGGGAGGCATGAGAATCAGAAGTGTGATGTTCTCCTCAGAAATCACCTCTAAAATATCAAAGTTCTATCTGATGTTTAAAATATTTATTTCCTAAATTTGGACTCAAAAAATAGGGGTTGTCTTATACATGGGGGCATCTGATACACTTAAATATTCAGTATATGTATACACAGAGGGGAAATGGGAAAATTTGAGTTTTTGCCTCGTACTAGAGATTGCTGATAAGTACATGCAGCATTACAAGCTGCCACTCACAAAAGCTCAGACCACCAATCAGTGTGTTACAATATTTTTTTTTATAATTTTGCAGATCTTTTAATGCCCTTTGTTCTTGTAGGGTAAATTCAATTGAAATCTATTGAGGGGTTTTATTTGATTAATTTCATTAAGTACCTTTTTTTTTAAATGTGACCATATCATCATACATGAGCCACTTTATTAAGAGGTTGTGGCAGGCGGAGATAAGATCGGTTTTTGAATCAGATGCTTTAATCCCAAATTTTACCACATGACAGGAGGCTTCATATTTGCATATCTTTCTTTACTGAAAACTCCAGCAGCATAGAAACAGTAACAACCAATCAGAAAAAAGATATGATGCCCATAAAAGGCCCTGTCTATGACATCACTTCCTCTTTCTTTGCTGCTCCAGCCTACACAGGTCAGAGTATTTTTTCCCTCTATGGATACTTAATAATTTTGTACTGCTTTTTCTTTATTTGAACTTATTTTACCTAAATTGTTTTCCCTGGACCTCCTATACCTGTTCCCCTCCCTCTTAACTCTCCTTTCTACCGAGCCTTTTGTTTTCACTGATCTCCTGTGCGGTCCGCGGGCGCCCGGCTGCCGTGCCGCGTGCGCTCCACGGACCCACCTCATAGACTCTCAGGGAGGGTGTGGGGACGGGTGGAGGGAGGCTGGGCCCCTTACCTTCTACACCCCGCACTCCGGACCCGCGACCGCGAGCTCCGTCGTGCTGCTTCGATTGCGAGCGGCGGCCATCTTGGATCTCGCGGCTCGCGAGATACAAGACGGCCGCTCTGTACGCTCACTGCGGATCGGGATTCACCCGATCAGCACTCCTGCTCACCCCCTAACCTTGTCCTCCTCCCCCAAGTGCTGGCACTAGCTTGCACACACGGAGTATTAAAGGACCCTGGGCCCATTATGGTTATTATATATTTTTTCATCCTCAGAGACCCAGAGGTTTGGGAGGACAAACAAGCATGCATTACAATTGGGCAAGTCCCAATACACAGCAAATGTAAAACATATACAGAACATTAAAGGAGACTGAGCACACTGATATACCCTACACTGGGTCATACTGCATTACTGTACCTATAGGTACACACAAACGTGGGTGTCCTCTGGGTATTTTTTACATGGCACACCACCTGGGGTGACCCCCCAGACAAGCATGCTAGGCCACGCAGACCATTTACTATTACGTGGGTGTCCTCTGGCACACCACCATTTACTATTACGTGGGTGTCCATGGCACACCACCTGGGGTGAACCCCAACTACATGCACGTGGGACTACGCTATTACATTAATATTTATTATTATTGATGACAATCCGTGCATACGGCTCTGATGTACAACTGTGGTGAGTCCATACGCACCACCACCACTGACACATACCGGACCACCCTGCCTATAGGGTGGCCTTTTCGAATCTCAGAGCCTTACGTTCTGCCCCACTTTAGAACGGGCAACTACCCTGGATGAACCCCAGTTGTACAAGGAGCTGGGCACTCTAGATACCCATATCTAGCATATATCCTGACATTTCGCCTCTGTCACCCAAACAGGAAAGGGAAAAACCCCACTGAGCCATGGAAGACACCCAAGCCACACAGGATTTCCAGGCTATGATAAATGCCGCCGTAGCGGCCTCAGTGGAAAAAGCTCTCCTGAGAGCGCTACCACAAACCCAGGGCGACGCCAGCCCTTCAGATCCGATGGAAGCCTCCGGCTCGGAAATATCCAAGGCAAAACGGCAACGGAAGGGCTCTAGCCCCCCTTCCACTGTGACCAAAAGCAAAACGTCCGTCAAGCGTCCTAAGAACTATGAACAACGACTGTCCAAACCACCACCTCCGCCTTCCTCCGACGAGGACGACTTCTGTGCGCCTCATACCCTGGACGTAGTGGACGAATGGCGTGAGGAAGGCTCCCATTCGGATGAGCAAGAGTGGCAAGATTTTCCCACCTCCTCAAAATACGTCAGAGAGACGGTACTCGGTGACGACCGGGACAGAGCAAGCACCAGTGGCACCAACCTCGGCAAGACAGAGGACGGAATGTTCGTGGACGATCTGGGAAACCCCCTCTTCGACCCCCGAAGTATCCGACACCCTCGCTCCTCGGAGTGGAGCCTCCCGGACCACCTAACGAAGTTCGTACACTACTGGCTACGTAAGCCTCTGGAGAAAGAGGTGCGAGCACGCCTCAAAGCCGAGTGCCCCAGACCACTGCTACCCGACAAGGTAGCACTCACGCCCGAATTTGATAACACGGTGGTGGTCTTCATGTCACGTTCGGGACGGGACCCCCGAAAAGGCGTGGAAAAAGGCTTAAAGGCGGCACAGGACAAAGTGCTAGATTTACTAGGCCCCATTACCAAGATGCTGTATTTTGCAGACTTAGCGCTCAGCCAGGGCTCACAGCTGGACCCCAATATTATACGGGAATGGGCTCAGCGTTCAATTTGCCTACTGGGCAACGCAAACGCGGCATTGTGCACCGAAAGACGCAAGTCAGCGCTAATACGCATAGACAACAAGCTCCTGGATCTAGGGGCAAAGGAATTTGGCCCGAAGGCGCAAGGCCTTTTATTTGGCGACGATTTCATCACGGAGCTTAAGAAGCACGTCAACCTCTTCACCACCTTGAACAAGGCTCAAACCTCGCTCAAGCAGGTCTTCCACACCCCCGCAGGAAGAGGTGTTTTTGGGAGGGCTGGTCGGCAACGGAACCGAGCCACCAGCCGCTTCTGGGCGACAGGTTCCAGATCCTACCCGCAAGCTCCAAGCGTCCACAACACAGAGACCATCGTACAGAGGTACGGGAAGAACCAGAGGCTTCAGAGGTCGAGGACGCAGCCATTTCTCTAATGGTGAGTCCACTTACATACCAATCTGTGTCCAATTTTGTAGCAGGTGGCCTGTCCCTTTTCTTACAGAACTGGCGACTCATCACCACGGATGCCTGGGTTCTCCAGACGGTGAAAGGCTTCGTGATAGAGTTTTACACGCAACCCATACAAACCACTCCCCCTACTCCGATGCACATGTCGGCGGACCAAAAGCGCCTAGTAGACGAAGAGATTCACACACTCTTCAAAAAGGGCGCGATCCAATTCGCCCCGAGAGAAGGAAGTTTCCTAAGCAACATTTTCCTAGTCAAGAAGAAAACCGGTGACTACAGACCAGTCATCAACCTACGAAACCTGAACACCTACGTGGTGTACAGGCACTTCAAGATGGAGGGAATACATCTGTTACAAGACCTTCTCACCAGGAACGACTGGTTTACGCGTCTAGATCTCAAAGACGCGTACCTATCCGTACCGGTGGACACCAACTGCCGACGCTTCCTTCGCTTCCTATGGAGAGGACACACATGCCAGTTCACATGCCTGCCGTTCGGCCTCAGCTCGGCTCCGTGGTGTTTCACGAAACTGCTGAGACCGGTGATGGCTCACATTCGAACGTTGGGCATACGATGTCTCGTATACCTGGACGATTTGCTGATTTTTTGCGAATCCGCTTCCAGACTACGATCGCAGACGAAATTTGTAGTTCACTTACTGGAATCCTTGGGTTTCGTAGTGAACAGGCAAAAATCGTCTCTCTTTCCCTCCCAGTCGATCCAACTCCTAGGCTTCGACATCGACTCGAAGGACTGCGTGTTACGACTACCGACAACGAAGATAGCCTCAATACGGAAGGAAATCAGACGGGTACTAAAGATGGATACGATACCGCTCAGAATGCTTGCCCGGATAGTAGGGCTTCTCTTATCCTCCATACAGGCGATATTCCCGGGGCCCCTACACTACAGGGCCATGCAACGACTAAAGGCGAAATACTTACGCACGGGACATTCATACGACCACTGGATCCCACTGTCGACAGAAGTGAGAGCAGAACTTCGATGGTGGTTACTACACATACAAGCCTGGAATGGCAAGGCGATATTCGGCCCGTCCCCGGACTTCATCGTGGAGTCAGACGCCAGTCTGTGGGGATGGGGCGCACACTGCACAGACGCCTCCACGGGAGGCCCATGGCAAGGGGAGGAGACGAACCTACACATCAACTGCCTGGAACTGATCGCAGGATCCTTCGCGATCCGCAGCCTGGCCAAAGACAAGTCGAACTGTTGCATTCTGCTCCGCATGGACAACATTTCGGCGGTGCAATACGTCAACCGCCTGGGCGGAGCAAGGTCAAGGGCACTAACAGAAGCCACGAAAGAGATTTACAGCTTCTGCCTGACACGGAACATCACCCTACAGGCGGAATACCTGCCGGGAACCTCCAATCTGACGGCGGACTGGTTCTCACGCCACTGGCGAGACAACAGCGATTGGAAACTCAACGAGGAAGTTTTCAGGGAGCTACGCCGACAGAAGGAACCACTAATATTGGACCTGTTCGCCTCCAGGACGAATCACCAACTACCGAGATACTACAGTTGGCTTCCAGACCCCAAGGGCGAAGCCGTAGATGCGTTTCTACAAACCTGGCCCATGGAAGGGGGATACGCTTTCCCACCATTCTCCATGATCCCACGCGTACTCCGACACACGCGCATTCACGGGATATCTCTCCTCCTAGTGACACCCCTCTGGCGGAGTCAACCATGGTTCCCAGAGCTGCTAGAGATGTCTCAGGAGACCCCACTGCTGCTTCCGAACTTCCCTCTACTTCTGACGGGACCTCGAGGGGAAACCCACGATCTCGTCCTGAACAGACAATTAGAACTGGTGGCCTGGACGATTTCAGGGGATCCTGGTCGGTCATCGGCCTATCACAGTCAGCTAAGGATCTCCTATGGGACTCATGGGCTCCCGACACCAGGAAATGCTACATTTCAGCCTGGTCTGCCTGGTGTAATTGGTGCGTGGAAAGGGACTCCGATCCCTTTACTGCCCCTATCCCATTAATCCTTAACTACCTTTCCCATCTGTTCGCTTTAGGCCGATCATACCGATCCCTCAATGTGATCAGATCAGCCATATCAGCGGCACACGTCCCAGTGCAAGGCAACCCCGTGGTTAAAAATGCAAATATGAAGCCTCCTGTCATGTGGTAAGATTATATTAGCTTTAGTGTACTAATAATCTTAATTTTAGTAATGACAGGAGGCGAATATTTCCCACCCTATAGGACCCCCCCAGGTTACTCCACATTACACACATCGGGTTTAGGGTTCAGGAAGACATGCACGTTAAGACGGTTTTATTTTTCAGACAGGTAACTGTTCTTCGTACTGGTTAATTGGTTTCTTGCTCATATTCCTTGATGTATGTTATGTTTTCATTATTACATGTATTATAGTTCGAATTGTATATAGTATTAACAATTTTCTCTACATACTAGTCATTGAGATTATCAGACTCTGATCGGTTATTATATGCGGACAAGTTTCCACTATAGAGACCTTTCACTTTTTTCTTTTTCTTTCAGCGTGAACGTCTTCTCTTCAGGACGAAGACTCATCTACCATACCAATTCATCGGAAAATTACCAAAGTCATGTTCCCTGTTATGTTATTGATCGGTTACCTATAGTTGTTTATGTTCTTACTGTTATATTCTGTTTCGCCTCAAAGAAAGAGGAAGTGATGTCATAGACAGGGCCTTTTATGGGCATCATATCTTTTTTCTGATTGGTTGTTACTGTTTCTATGCTGCTGGAGTTTTCAGTAAAGAAAGATATGCAAATATTCGCCTCCTGTCATTACTAAAATTAAGATTATTAGTACACTAAAGCTAATATAATCTTCAATTGATTAAATAACGATTTTGAAATGTGAAATTTTTTAAAAACATTTTTTTTTCATCTCATTAGTGTAGTGCTCCATTTTTTAAGTAAAGGTGGTGTATACATTTCATATATTTTGAATATATATTTGTATGTATGTATATATATATTGACTATATGGTTGTTTTTATCTTTATTTTAGCAAATGACACCATTTTACATTTGTTTATATATATATATACAGTAGCCTTGCAATACAGTTATTATTTTGTCCTCCTTTTTGTTTTTTGTTTTTCCTAATGTTGTTCAATATGTTTCTAAAATATTTCTCTTTTAAAAAAAATGATTTTTGGAAAATAGTTTTTTTTCTTCTGTTTATATTGTCTTTGTCTCTGTTAGATAAAATGTGTGTGTGTATATATATATATATATATATATATATATATATATAGACAGTTTAGTTTTTATTAGCATGGAAAGAGTTAATGGAATTGACGTAATACTGCTGGACATATGGATAATTGCAATTGAATATGTTAATAATTGACTTGTGCAATAACTAATTGAATCTCAGAGTGGCTTAACACTGTTTGCCCTTAAATATCCGGATAAAAGATGGAGGAGATTATGACTCACGTTGTGATGGAACCGCAGGTGAAACGCCTGAAACTGCGACAGTAGACGGAGCTGAGCGTCACAGAGGGAGGCAATTGGGGGACTGCAACAATACGCTGAGCGTTTGTGAGTGGCAGCTTGTCATGCTACATGTACTGACCAGCAATCTCTAGTAAGAGGCAAAAACTCAAATTTCCCCACTTTCCCATCTATGTGTATGTGTATGTTTATATATATATATATATATATATATATATATATTCACTGTTTTTATTGTGATTTAATTGTTTTTATGTATATCTGTTGCTAGTAAACATTGTTGTATTAGACCTACATTTTTAATCTACATTATCAACAGTGTTAGTGTGCTTTAAAGTAATAGTAATAGAGTGATACTGTTTGTTTTTATTTCTTTGTTTTTCCTACATTTCCATGGAACTATTTTGATCTGCAATAAGAGACTTCTTTATAATTATCTTCAAGTTATTTTTCTTTATTTACGCTCCCCTTTTTTCTTTATTGATTAGATTTCTTATAAAGTCTTACATGTATTCTAAAACTAGAACATTTATTTCGGCATGGCTTTTTTTATAGAACATTTCTAATACATTCCTTCCTTATTAACATATTAGCAACTAAACTGTTTAATTGATATATTGGTATTCTTGAGATGTAAATGAGATGCAAATTCTGATTGACAGCATGGCATTGGCAGTCTTCATTTATAAATTTGAACTGCCTCTAAAAATGAATAACTGTTTCTGACATTCAATTATACAAGATTACAAGAATTATTGTTGCGTTTTGGTAATATTAGAACCCAAATAATATTATAAATGTATCTTAATAAATCTAAAATCAAGTACCACTCAAATATCAACCTTGAAATATAATCCTGCTTGAGAGCAGGTGATTCATGTAAATTTATGTTCACTGTCTATGACTTTCACCATTCTTCATATCTTTTTATCCCAAATGTTATCTCCTCAGGTTTTTCCCCTCTATTCACCTCAATATCTCCATGTCTCCCCACCCATAATGGTGTGTTTATTATATTTTTTAAACCCCAAACTTTATATTTCAAAATGGGCCCCAATATAGCAGCATTGATTATCAACACCCAGTACTCACAAGCAACTAAGCTCTGCAGAATTGCCTAAGCAGAGGTATCATCTCTGGAAAGCCAATCTCATACCCATCTCATGTTACTCTTCTTCTAAATCCTCCTTCAATACTGCCCTCTGGAATGCAATATTACAAATTCCACTGCTGTCCACGACTTCTTCATCTCTTGTTCCCTAGATTTACTAGCTTTAACAGAAACATGGCTCTCCCCCTCTGACACTGCTACCCCCGCATCTTTATCCTTTGGTGGTCTTCAACTTACCCACAACCCAAGACACTCTGAATGTAAAGGTGGTGGTGTAGGGTTTCTCCTATCACATCACTGCTCCTTCAAACCTCTACCCACCCCCCTTTCCTCTCTTTCCCATCATTTGAAATTAATTTGATTTGCCTCTTCAAACCCTTCTCTGCTAACATTGCCATTATTTATCACCCCCCTGGTTTCCCTCTCCTCTCACCTGACCACTTTACTGCCTGGCTACCCTACTTCCTCTCTTCTAATATTCCATCCCTAATTCTCGGGGACTTCAATATTCCCATTAACCCACCTTTGACCTCAGCAGCCTCTAAACTACTTTCAATTACTTCCTCCCTTGGCCTATCGCAGTGGGCTAATTCTCCTACTCATGTACCTGGCAATAATCTCAACCTGATTTTCTCTTATTCATGTACAGTATCTAATATCTGCAACACTCCATTTCCTCTATCTGATCACCACCTCTTAGCATTTTCTCCCGAGTACCCCCTCACCCAACAACCTCAGCCTAACCCCCCTCAACTCAGGAGGAACCTTAATTATATTGTCCTCCAGCAGCTGGCAGCTGATATCGATTCTCAAATGTTAGCCATCCCTTCCCTATCCTGTTCCTTCCTGGCAATGTTTATATATAATACAGCCTTGAACGCTGCAGCCCCCCTCCAAACATGCACCTCGAGGAGGACACGTCCCCAACCGTGGCATACCAGATCAACACGCTACCTGCAAAGATGCTCCATTGTGCTGAACACTTCTGGAGGAAGTCTTGCACCCAGTCAGACTTTCTCCATTATAGATTCATATAGTGTTCATACAGCACAGCCCTTGCCCTCGCCAAACAGTCATACTTTTAAACAGTCATACTTTTCAACCTCTCATTAGTTTATGCTCCTGCAATCCCAGGCGTCTCTTTGACACATTTAACTCTCTTCTTTGCCCTGCTGTAGCCACCCCCCAAACTAACCTTACAGCCGATAGCTTTGCATGCTATTTTACCGACACGATTGAACAGCTATGGAAAGAATTCTCCCCACCTTTCCATTCACTTTCTCAACCACACATAGTTAATGCCTTTCCTACCCTTCAGACTTTCTCCCCGGCTACTAAACAAGAGGTGGCTGCACTTCTCTTTTCCTCTCGCCCCACCACTTGCCTGCTAGATCCTGTCCCATCTCACCTTATCAGATCTCCCTCCCCCTGTCTTGTGCCTTCCTTAACACACATCTTCAACTGCTCTCTCTCTTCTGGCATTGTCCCTGCTAACCTTAAACATGTCACTGTAGTACCTATCCTGAAAAAACATCCCTTGACCCGTCCTCCCCCTCTAACTATTGTCCCATATCCCTGCTCCCTTTTCCCTCAAAGTTTCTGGAAAGACTTGTCTTTTACCCGTATGTCTTACTTCCTCAATTCCAACTCTCTACTTGACCCTCTTCAATCTGGCTTCCGCCCTCTCCACTCTACTGAGACTGCTCTTATTAAAGTTACTAATGACTTAATCACAGCTAAATCCAGAGGCCACTACTCCATACTAATTCTTCTTGACCTCTCTGCTGCATTTGTCACCGTTGATCATGCTGTCCTTCTTCAAACTCTTCTCGTTTGGAGTCCCCCAAGGCTCTGTCTCTTTATACTGCCTGTCTTGGCAAACTTATTACCTCTTTTGGATTCCATATCACCTGTACGCTGATGACACCAAGATATATCTCTTCTCCGGCTTCAATGTCACAAAAAAAAAAATACATTGTTTCAAGCCTCTTCTTCTCTGTATTCTTACTCTATGCTGACTGCGAGGTGTAAAGGACATGGTTTATAACAATGATTGATATGACTGGCATTGAAGCCAAGATGGAGGTTCCCAGTTTCAGGATAAAAAGTGTGAAATTCTACAATTAAAGGGAACCAATAACAACATCAATTAAGTGACATTGGTATGGTGCTAAAAGGTCCCAGGTGTCATTGGTTTAACACCAAAGTATTTTTTCCCAGTGCTGTTTAGCTCTGTCCCTGTTCTTCCAGTAATCCTTGGTAGAGGGGTAATGCAGATCTACGTTTATCAGTAGTTCCCATTCATAGAAACAGCTTGAGAAAGATATGTAAGTTTCTTGTTCTTTTGTTTGATGTCAAAGAAGTGCAAGGGCAAAGCGAACTAGTTCTGGAGAGAAGACTTTAACCTATAAAGGTAAGCTGGCGCTGGGGACCTCCTGGCACCATAACAATTTTATTGCATTGTTGTTATGGTGCCCGGAGTGTTTCTTCAATTTTAAATTTCACATCTCCCGTATCTACACATATTTGTTAAATAAAGGGGATGCATTAATATATCAATAACAATCCTGTAAAGTGTTGGTTCCCATTTAAAAGTTTTGCATGAAGAATAAAGGAGACCTATAGTTATCAATATTATTTGAAAGAATAGGTGGATTTATGAGACCCCATTTTTTTCTTTACTTGGTTAAACTGAAATAAATAATAGGCCAATATCTTTGGAAAGACATATATAAATCTTGCTGAAGGAATATCTTCATTTTCTTCGTTTTGATTTTTTGTCATCAAGTTTCCTTAGAAATGTTATTCCGATTTCAGTTACATCATCTCCTTTCAGTATATCTTGAATAAAAGTAACATCAGCAGGTAAGTGGACCTGTAAAAAAAGAATAATACAATTATTTATCTTCATTATGCAACAGAATGCATCTATTTATTAAATTGACCCTAATTATTTTCTTTTTACAGTGCATCCTGTTTGAGAAGTACATACTAATAACCTCAGTACCTGCATGGCATGTGCCCTCCCCTTAACAAATTGCCTTTCCTTTGATTTAAATAGTGTTTAAGAATAAAAGTGTCTATAAAGGTAACTGGAAATTTTTATAGGGACACCACAAAGTTTCGCGAGATGAACTGCTACCATCAACTTCAGTGTAAAATCACAAATATCTGTAAAGGTGCACTGAAGGCACTATAATCACAACAGCTTGTTAAAGTGCTATGAGGCGAATTTTAATGTGAAAAAAATGAAATGCAAGCCTTATATTTGACGCTGTAACTTTTGATAACACCATAAAACCTGTACATGAGGGGTACTGTTGTACTCGGGAGACTTCGCTGAACACAAGCAGGGAGGGGGGACAAAAAACATTTAAAAAAATAATAATGCAAATATTAAAATAATAATAATATAATAATAAAATAATATTAAAATAATATTAAAATAATAATATTATTTTATTATTATATTATTATTATTTTAATATTTGCATTATTTTTTTTTAAATGTTTTTTGTCGCCCCTCCCTGGCCAGGCAACAAGCAGGGTGGGTCGACAAAAAAACATTTAAAAAAAAATAATGCAAATATTAAAATAATAATAATATAATAATATTATTTTAATAATATTATTTTATTATTATCAAAATAAAATAATATTAAATCCCTGGTGGTCCAGTGACATTGGCAGTTCAGTGGGGGGGCTGGCAGTGAGCTCTTACTTACCTTCCTGCAACTCCTGTCAGCTCCCTTCTCCTCCGTGCAGCTCCTCAGTCAGCTCCGTTCTGTTTACAGTGTAAGTCTCGCAAGACCCGCGGCTCTCGCGAGACTTACACTGTGAGCAGAACGGAGCTGACCGAGGAGCTGCACGGAGGAGGAGGGAGCTGACAGGAGCTGCAGGAAGGTAAGTAAGAGCTCGCTGTCAGCCCCCAACAGGACCGCCGGGCTTGTAATGAGCCCGGCGGTCCTGGTCTGTATTATGGCAATATAAATTGCCATAATACAGACTGACTCGAGTATATACGGTATATATTTATGTATGTAGATATATATATTATTTCGTTCTACGTGTATTTTGATATAAATATATATATATATATTAATATCACAATACAGTTAGAACGAAATAACACACATCTATATATTTTTTAATTATTTTTTTAAATAATTTTTTTAATTTTATTTTTTAACGTATTTACATATTTAATTTTTTTATATTATATATAAATATATATAACAATAATTATATATCTATTTAATCAGTATCAGTCTACATGTAATTTGATATTAATATATATATATATAGAATTATATATATATTAATAGTAAAATACACCTAGACAGTGTATATATGTGTATATATATATACTTAGATCATATATAAATGATCTAAGTATATATATATTTTTTTTACACTTATTAATTTTATTTTAATTTTATTTCTAGCCAGCAGGGGGACCACCTGTAATTACATGCAGCCCCCCTGCTGGCAATACAGAAGCCAGCTATCCCGGCCATGTGATTGTGAGGTCCTCGCAAGGACCTCACTCTCACATGGCCGGGGGGCACCAGAGGAGGAGGATCTGCCACGGGGGGGCTCCCTGGGAGTCCCCCCCACTGCGATTGCTGGCGTGGGACCGCCGGCGACTGGGTAAGTAAACAAAAACAGGAGGGCGTACAATTACGCCCGGCTGTGTTTAGAGCCGCCTAAAATAGGGCGTAATTGTACGCCCTCCGGTCTTAAGGGGTTAATGACCGGCATTAGGATTTGTTGTACTACTATCTGTTTCCTTACTGTAGGGCGTAGGCAGGATTTGTTTCTGTACAGGGCACCTAGTTTGGGGTAAAGTTTAAAAGAGATTTTTTCAATGTGAAGGGCAAAGGATAGATTGGGGTCTAGCAACATACCTAGATATTTGAATGAACAAACCCCATTATGTCTAATGTAAATATGTCTAACTTTTCATGGGTTAGGATAGACAAATTATAATTTGATAGTGCGTTTGTTGTAATTTTTGCATTGTCAAAATTGATGTACAGAGGACACAGTGCAGAGACCCATTTTTTTTGCAAACTTTTCTAAAATTGTTTGACAAAAAAAAAATGAGATGGTGCCTACATAGGTCTTACAATGAGTTGGATACAGGTTCTGTCATCCAGAGTCAGAAGTTTCTCTATAATAAATTATACATTACCATTTCCAAAGCACCTCTGATGACTCCTGATAGAAGGTTGCAGTAGGACAGTGATGGGCGTCCAGCTGGGAGCTCTTCAACAAAGTCAACAAGTGGATTTTTATCCAAAACCAGGGAAAATCCATTGCCTCCATCATTTGCTCCAATCGTTGTCGGGGTAATCCCAAGGTACATTTTAAAAGCTACCTGAATATATAAACAAATATAACCAGAAGTTAAATGCTCAGGTCATAACTTAAATACAACCCTAAAATAACTAACAACAGAATTAATTTCAATATTTGCTAGAAACATTCGATAGGAGTAATATGTTTTCTATATTTTGTTGTAACACACATTTCAGCAAATATATGTTACTAGCTACTTTTACTATAAATGTCTCATATTTCTATGTATTGCATTTCAGAATAATTCACCATACAGAGGTATGCCCACCCTTGCTTAGAGGGACTCCCCAGTGCCAGGAAAACAATACGTTTTCCTGGCACTGCAGGTCCCCTCTCCCTCCCACCCCCCATCCCCGGTTGCTGAAGAGGTGAAAACCCCTTCAGTCACTTACCTGAGACCCCGCCGATGTCCCTCGGCAGTGGTTTTCGGGTCAGTTTATGAAAACTGCAATAATTACAGCTGCAGGGTTAAGGGTAGTGGGAGTTGGCACCCAGACCACTCCAATGGGCAGAAGTGGTCAGGGTGCCTGGAGTGTCCCTTTAATTATATGATCAATAAACATATTCTAAGAGACCTAACTTTAGCCTAATCATTGTTGTAAATTTCTGGTCTGTCATATTGGTGGCAGGTTAAGGTTTTTATATTTTGAGCTGTTGGGTCAGTGCCATATTCCTTACTGTTTTGGTGTCCTATTATTTATTGCAGTCTCACTAATTAAAGAAAAAAGAGGTGGCCTAATAAATCCATTTATTCTCCCAAATAATATCAATTACTACTGGCCTACTATAGAGGTCTCCCTTATCGCTGCTTGTAACAAGTTATCTGTTACATAATTTACATGAATGGGGAGTATAATTCCGCAGCTTCAACAATAGCCCCAGTCATTGGAAGGGAGAATCAATTAAGGAAATTTTTGCTGCAAAGTGAATCATAAAATAGTTACTACAGAAGACAGGGGCAGATTAGGGAACATCCAATCTGGATTATCTCTTTCCCCCACTTATCTTTAACTTGACTGTGGCTATTGGTGTGTGCCTGCCACAGGAGGACATTCCATAAGGAGGGGACATCGTTGGAAAAGTCTTACAGGTGAGAGTGTGAGGTGTAGGTGCAAGAACGGGACACTTATAGGTCGTCGGCGAAGAGGCCCTGGCTGGAGCACATCTTCTAATGAGTGAGGAGATCTCAGCAGGGGCACGGTTATGGCTAGCTTTGTAAGTAAGTATAAGAATTTTGAACCATATCCTAAATGAAACAGGCAGCCAGTGAAGAAACTGACAGAGGGGTGAGGTAATGTAGATCAGTCTGGCATACGAGTTCATTATGGACAGTAGAAGGGCAATACGTACACTTTTCAGTCCAATGAGTAAAGGTTACAATAATTAAGGTGGGAAATAACAAGAGCATGGACAAAGTCTTAGTTGCATCCTGAGTTAAAAGGAGCAAATACAAAAAATGTTTTAAGGTGATGTAAGGGGTGAAGGAGAAGTCCAAGTCAAAGAGCATGTCAAGGGAGCACACCTACAGGGTAGAGGTTATGCTAACTACATTGACCTTTAGGTAAAACAGATGCAGACATAGTTTTAGGAGGAGGAAAGACAGGAGATTCGATCTTGGAGAGGTTGAATTTTAGTAATTGTTAAGTCATCCAGTCAGAAACAGAGAAAAGGCAGTTGGTAACACATTCCAGCACATGGGGAGAAAGATCAGGCAAGCAAAGGTGGATTTGTGTATCATCAGTGTACAAGTGATATTGAAAACCATAGAACGATATCAGGTGTTTAAGAGAGGCA